TAGCCTACTATACAGTACCAGCAATAGTCTTAATCGTTTGATTTGACCATAAAATAACTTCACTTCACACGTTAAATTAACGATGCAACACATACCCGCACGCCATTGTCATGCACGAGATACACGTAGATAGGAGTAAGGTTAAGAAAGCCTTTCACTAGAAATTCCAGAGCGGGCGCTCACTCTTGTCGATGCACTAGAGACGAATAGAACGTCCAAACGCCAATGATATTGGCATCTGTGTGTAGGCTGACTGATCACCCTTGTTCGATAATATACGCTCTTGCAACATGAACGCACAGACTTTAGCCCAGAACATTATATGATAAAATGCCTGCCAAATTTGCCGGCAAATTTCCGATGAAGCCGATTTGTAAAACCGGACAACGTTATGCCGAAATCCCTAACTGCTCTATATATCCTTTGACGCAATCAGATAGTCGCCTGTGACGTCACTTTGCGCGAAGGTTGGCGTCGAGGCTCGTTTGGAGTTGGGCAGGCGGATCAACTCCTCCAGAGTGCACATGCGCCGCCATTGCTCATCAGTACTTGTCCGTTTTACAAATCGGCTTCATTGGAAATTTGCGCAAAATTTGAGCAGGATTTATCATATAATTCTGGTAAAGTCTGTGGACCATGTTGCAAGACGTATATTTCGACAGTGATCATTCATGCACACACAGATCCAACTATCATGGCGTATGGAGTTTATTTGTCTCTAAGTGCATCGACAAGAGTGAGCGTCTGGAATTTCTGTGAAAAGGCTTCTCCTCTCCCTATCTACTGTGTATCTGTGCATGCAACACTGGCGTGGCGCTATGTGTTGCATCCGGTGTATTTAACGGTGTTGCAGTGAAGTTTATTAGGTCAAATCACACATTAAGACTATTGCTGTACTGTGTAGTAGCTACTGACAAGTGTGTATTATTAACATCATTTATTATTGAAAACGGTCCAAGTGTCTGTGATGGGACCGGTTCCGTCGCGTAACCTCTGCGTATATTTTATTGAAAAGCTCCAAGTGCTGTGCACAGTAATGGCGCGCAACGATCAACGCATACAGCCATCGGCATTCACGCACCAACTGTCATCTCGCTTATGTAACTATTAACGATGAATTAAAATTCAGTTCATCAGCATTTGATACTTAAAATCTTGAATTGGCTACGAATAAATTGCTAATAGTCGCGAAATTAATAAACGTGGCTACGCTGCACTGTGTTTAATTAAGAAGAGCGACGCAGAAACAGTTGGAAACATTGTGAGCGCTAACAATCGTTGGGAGTGGATCAACAAGTGAGTCACGTCCATGCCAACGGTCAACGACTCTTCAGCAACGCTTGACACTGGCGAAATATCTGCTCACTAATTACACACCTAAAGACGCCTTCCAAAATAAAATGATATTCAATTCCAATGTTTGCAAGCATACGTAGCAAAAGCAAAGTAAGTTTTCCAAGCGTATTTGCGAGAACGAAAAACTTCGCCGGCGTCACGTTTAGCAATACAGAGGATTGGCGGCGCGTTTGAAACACAGGCCATCGATTTGTTGCTCATTTGTTTGGCACAACACGGCATCTGCTGGGAAATGGCCGACCGTATTTGATAACTGTGGTACGTGTTTTGTCTGTGTTTAATCAAGTTGTGAGATTGAGAAACGGCGTGAGGCAAGCAGCGGGCAATCAAGGGTTTGTCCGTTACAAAAAGGAGTGCAAGGCTGGCCACATGTTCCAGATTGAAATGGTTAGCAGTATTAATAGTACTTTCTTACCTAGCAATACGTGCTGAAATATTAATTCAGTAGCCGAGAGCACATTTTCTTGCCATTCGTTTGGCATGTGAAAATATGCAGGTCCTAGGTTCATGTAAACGCTTCTATTTTTGTTCAGAATGGTTGGTAGTGTATTGTAATCGACATTACAAATTTTCCTGTAATAAAACTGTGACACGCACTAAGCCATTAATAACGGTACTTTTTGTTGGAGCAAATGACAATATAGAACAAAGAGTTACTCAACAAGTTGTACTGTAACTTAGTCCGAGCTGACGCAGACACCCGCAGTAATGGGGTCTGCGGCCGGTGTCTATCCAATCACGAAAGCCACTCCAGTTTTTGAGGGCGACTTATAAGTAATCATAAGCGCGCTGAATATATAACCAATCCTATATTGCGTGAACTTACTTTCTAGATCTGAATTGAATCATTTATTCTAACGTGCATGCACGCTATGAT